AAAAAAAAAAAAAAAAAAAAAAAAGAATCAAGTAGAATACTGATGGAAAAAGGAGATACTAGCCCAGCTTCAGCTGTGTGCTCTGCATACTGTCCCCACTCCACCTCTTAGATCAAGCCAGATGTTCCACTCTTACAGGGACCTAAGAGCCCTGGCACTGTTGAGAACTGAATTAGAGGACAAAGGACTTGACCATCTGCCCCCCTCCCTCCCACTTCCCACATACCTGCAGCAGGAGGGCTGCAACTTCTGCATCCCTGAGGTCAGCCAAGATTCCTACAAGGTGTTCAGCATCCACATCCAGGGAGAAGGGGAAGCAGAAGAGCTGGCAGACAGAGAGTGCTACAACAGGGAGAAACTCAGGCCCGTGAGGCCTAAGGAAGGGGATGGAGAAGAACAGACTTGGTCTTGTTCATCTACTGTTTCTGATGCTTCCCTTCCTTTCAAACTTCCTCAGAACTCTTCCCCACTCTCAGCAACTTCTCAGGTTTCCAGCCTAATCTTTACCTCATTTCTTGGTTTCATAACTCAAGCTGTCAGCTACTTCTTTCCTCCCACCCCACCCCAATCAATGCTGATTCATCTTCCTTCATCTCAGACTCACGCTTGGCTCAGGTGATACAGGAAGCTTGGGGAAAGTAGGTACTTCAAGGTGGACATGAGGATACTTCCACGCTCAGACAGGTGGCTCAGGCATAACGGGGGCTCTTGGGTGAAGGTGGCTATGGCCAGGCTCAGCAGGGCTGCCATGCCTAAAAATACCAAGAAGAAAAACCTAGTAAAGCAGGCAAGAGGTCCAGATACCTTGTTTCTCTGTGGTTCCCAGAGCTACCAAAAGTCCCTTCCCCATCCTTGAGCAGCTCCTTTGTAGATTCTGCCATCCTCTTCCAGGCAGTACCAACAGATGTCTCTCTGTGGGTTAACCTCATTCTAGGCTGCCTCCTTCTGAAGCAGGATCCATATACTGGCCCCCAAAAGGAGGCTATGCTAGTAGAAAGATACCCTGGGGTGAAATCAGTGTCCAGTCTGGCTCTGGGCTGGGTGGACTAGACAGTGACAGGTCCTCTTCCTGTGTAGACACTTTGTCAGGTAGCTTCAAGGCCATGGAGAAGCGGCGCCACAGAATGGTCCACATTTCTGAGCTAGCCACATCCCTGATCAGGGTGGCCTTCCCCTGCTGGAAACAAAATGAACAAGTAGTTGGGGAGGCAGAAGTCAGGAGCCCAAATGTCTAAATGCCGCTTTTTTTCTTTCTTTTTTTTTCCAGACAGAGTCTTTCCCTGTAGTTCAGGCTAGCCTTGAACATACTATGTGTGCTAGCCTGGCTTTGAACTTGCAGTGATCCTGAGTGCTGGGATCACAGTCATGTGCTACCACACTTGGAAAGTGCCTTTTTCATTCCTGTCCCTGACATATAAGGAAAGGGAGTCAAAGAAATAATTCTTCTGTTTTCCCACCTAGTATTTCCATGTTGTCTTATTTTCTTTTACCATATCTAAATTCCCTGAACCTCTCAAGACATGTTTGTACCTGCTGAAAACCACGGAATTGGCCTGTTGGAGTCAGCTCATGCCAAGGTTGAGTTGCACACAGGCCAATAAAAGAAAACTTAAAAAATATTTTTCAAAAGAAAAAAAATCCCAAATGAGGAATTTGCTTGTTTTGATGGTTTCCCTCAAAGGGTTCCTACTGAGGGCAAGTAGGGCAACAGCAATAAGGTTACTGCAGGCACAGCAAGCATAGGCCGTTCCTTCCTACTTAGTGTCTAGCAACTGCCCAAACTGCCCAATTCCTTCTCTTTTCCTCTCATCTATCTCAAGATGCACCTGTACCTCAGTGAGGAGCTGCAGCAGAAGGATGAGGAGGCCATCATAGAACCCACAGCTACCTGGTGGAGTCAGCCGGACCTGTTGGAGAGAGGCAAGAAGAATGCAGATCCCTGAGAAGAATGATGGCTGTGCACCCAACTCCTAGTCAGGTAGAAAAGTTCTTTCCTGGCCTAGCAAAGTGGGAAGAGTTGTTCTGGCCTCAGAAGTCTCAGTATCTGCCTATTCACTCAATGTATATCCTAAAGACATAATCTGGTAGCATAAGCAGTCAAGAAGAAATCATAATTAGGAAGATACTTGCTAAATAAGAGGCTAGGGGCACAGTTGAGAATGCCTAATCCCTGGGCCAGGGATTTAGCTCAGTGGTGCTGCCACCTGCACTGAAAGCACAAGGTCCTGAGTTCAATCCCCAGTACCAAGAAAAAAAAAAAGAAAAAAAGGAAAAAGAAAGAAAAGAAAATAAAGGGGGAAGAATGCCTAATACTGGCTTCTGGAGGTAGAAAACTGATGTATTGAAAAAATTTAAAGACAGTTTAGATAATGTGATGGTCAGAAGGGTGACCATTCCAAGAAGTCATAACATATATAAAGGCAGATAGGCACAAAAGACCACAGTCAATTTGGAAATGGCACCTCTGTTAGTATAGCAGAATTATAGAGCCCACAGGCAACAGATGAGCTCCAAGTAGCAGGCAACTAAGTCTGGGCTTTCTCCCAGAAGCAGTGGGTAGCCACAAGGACTTTATCCTAGAAGCAGTAGGAAGCCACTGATCATGATATAAGCTCCACATGGGCAATTTATATGTTTCTCTTACTCACTGCTGTAGACTTAGAGCCTGAAACAGTGTTGGGTAGTTAATACATATTTATGCATTCAATTATCATTGGTTGAGCAAATAACTGTACTTTCCTTTAAAAAAGCTCACTCTGTGGCAGTAATGAGAATAGAATAGAAAGGTGAGGGCTAAAAGGAGAGATCTTTACATAGACAAGCACCAGAGACTAGAAGAGAGAAGTCGTGTACATAAACTAAGGCAGGTTAGTAATGGTGCCATGGAGGGAAGAGGCCTGAGAAGCAACTAGAAGTTAGAATAAATGGGATCTGGGGGAATCATTTGGAGGTGAAATAATGGGGAAAAGGGAGTGGTCCCTGATTACTTCCAGGGTCTGGATATAGGCTCTTAGATAAATGTTAGTAGTATCACCAATGATACGACTTTTCTGAAGGTCAACTTCATCAAAGACAAGGAGATGAATCTTATTACATGCTGTGTCTATCTTCCACATTTGTTGTAGGATAACATATGAAAGAGTGCCTTATAAATTATAAAGAATCCACATATATATCACAATAATGTAAATATGAAGTATATTCTTTTTAAAGAATGAAACACATTATGAGTTCCAAAGGGACTAAAAAGGAAAAAGGGGAAGACTTAAGGGAGAAAGCAGAAAGAAGGCTGTAAGGCTAGGAAATGGACTGAATTCCTTCATAAGGTGCAGCGTATTACCCCTTCTCCATCCCAGTTAAGAAAAAAAAGTTGGAAAAGTAAAGTGGATTCTGTAGTAGGAGGAGAGGAGATAAGTATCAGAAGGATTTTAACCACAAGACAGACTGAAGCGGGTAGGGAAAGCTAACACCTCAGAGAACTTTGATCAGTCTTCTGTCCTCTGTTCGCTCCCTACCTCCCTCCTTCAAGACCCTGCATAAGAAATCTGAAGTTCTGCTCAGTCTGAGCTCAGAGGGGCCTAATATCTAGGGGCAAAAGACTAGGAGAGGAAACAGTTCTTGAATCCTTTTCCATTCCTTATTCTTCTCCAGGCTTGCTAGCAGTTCAGTCTTTTCCCTAGAATGCAGTTCTAGTATTTGACTCAGAGAAAACATGTCTGTGCCTTCCCCGGTAGGCCTCACCTCTGCAGGGGCAGACAGGGCATGTGTGGCTGCAGCGATCCACTCTCTGGGCTGGAGGTCAAAGGTCACCCCTTGCTGACCAAGCTGTCCCAACAAACAGGCTGCTGCACTCTGTCGGGGGCAGTGGAGGAGAAAGCCCAACAGAATCTGAATGGTGCTCAGGACAGGGAGAGAAGGTCCATGTCTCTGACCTGCTCCAGAAAAATGTCTCCACAAGCAGCTTCAAATGGGAATGTGACTGCCCCACTCCCAAAAGGGATGGATGATGGGGGTAAAAGGAAGAAGAGGGAAGACCGAAAACTCACCACAAGAGAGACGATGTGTGAGTGGGTAAAGAGGGAAGCAACCTCGCTGCCCAGCTTCTCCATTCTAGAATAAGGAGATACATCGAGGGATGCAGCGCATTAAAGGAGGCTGGTATGGGCCTGGGATTTAGCTCAGTGGTTCTCGCCGCCTGCCTTGCAAGCGCAACGTCCCGAGTTCAATCCCAGTACCAAAAACAAACAGACAAACAAAAAACCCTATAAAGGATGCTGGTAAATGGCTCTCCCTCTCCCTCGACTGTGCTCTTCACCTAGGCTGCATGTCCATCTCCACGGACCCAAGTTGATGGGAGTCCAGGTCTGCTCTTTGTAAAGAAACCCTCCCTCTCTAGTTCCCTCCTATGCAGTGGCTAAAGGATGCTACTCCCCATACTGTGTCCAGATTAGGAATATGGGGGAAGACTTTAGTAGAGTCTTTATGACTCACCTGGAAGGCAGATCTTGGAGCCGAAAGACAAGAAGGGAGAGGAGGTAGAGCGCCACTTCAGTGGACTCTTCCCAATCCACTACTTTCACCTACAAAGGAACTTAGCTATCAGAACAAACAACCTCTAGCTAAGTTGGTAGGGCTGCCGTGAGGTGCCCACTTGTGTTACTGGCTTACCTTGCCCTGGACAAGAATCAACAGTGACTCCAAGGCCAGGGACTCTTGCCCTAGAAGATGGCATAGGCGCTCACTGACATGGCAACAAGAGTAGAGAACCTAGGGGAGCAGGAAGGAATCTGTCAAGTGCAGAGCAGGATGGAGGGACTCAGCTGAAAAGCAGGTGAATCACTCAATGGCGCTAGTGCCCACTCCTGGGAGTGTGAGCAACTCCTGCCCCTTACTTGAGATAGTGAGACAGGGACATTTCTCAGTTCCGGTGAAGAATGGTTAACGTGGAGACACCTGAGTTAATCAGAGTTAAAAGCAAAATGGAGTCCTCAAAAGGATATTCTTTCTCTCGGACAGGGTCTTGCTACATAGTTCAGACTGGCTTTGAACTCACTGTGTAGCCCAGGCTGGCCTGGAACTCATGGTGATCCTCCTGCCTTAGCCTCTCAAGTCCTGAGATTACAGGTATGCCAGCACGCCTGACTCTCTAAGGGATTCTTAAATTTCTGTGTCTGTCTATCTACCTCTCTGTCCTAGGAGTTGAGAAAGAAAAAAAGCCAGCCAGCCAGTCAGCCAAGATTCTGGGAGTTGTGGGAAGTACCTTAAGAAGGTGCAGGCATAGGAAGGGATGTTGCAGGCCTGAGATGAGGGATGGCCTGAGCTGGCTGCTGTCTTCAGTCAACTGATTTGCCAAATGGCAAGAGACCTATGTAGACAAACACAAGAGATTTAATCTGATCCCTTTATTCCAGACTTATTCCTCACACATCTCCAGGTGACCAAGACTCTCAATTCCTTGCTGGTCTCTCTTCTCAGGGTCACCAGGAAGCTCATACCCATTCTATTTCCAGTATTCATGGCCAAAGAAGAAGTAAAAGTAATGGCCTAGGTTGGCCCCTGTGCACGCAGGTACTGGAGGCAATGTTACTGGGCAAAAGGAAAACTGAATCCTGAGCCTTTCCAATCAGCAGTCCTGCCACCTGCGTAGCTTATCATTGAGCCTTTTCCCAATTCTGGCTACGTCATATTGTACAAGTGTCTTAAGCCCAAGCTGGCAGCATATGTTTCTGGAACTGCTGTATAAGAAGAGGCATAAAAGTTTGTTTTTCTGTCCCTCTGAGAAACTGGGGACAGCCTCTCCAATTCTGCTGGGAAGCAGGAAAAAAGGAGCAAGAAGTTGCAGCTCAGACCTGCTCCTTGGCATCCCAGCAGCTGGGCAGCCCCACAGGAGCAGTGCATATGGCTGCCAGGGCGCAGGAAATGGCTCCAGGCAGATCCTCATTCTGGTCTTGCAGTGCTTGACTCATGCGTGGGGTTCCTATGGAGAAAACAGAGAATGCAGGTGAGGTCAGGCTGTTTCAGGTCTCCATTCTGTTTCAGTTCAGGGATTTATCGAGTACTCACTATGTCCCAGGCACTGTTCTAGGTGATGGATCAGAGCGGGAAGATCAGAGCAGACCCATACAACAAAGACATCAAGAGAATCTTCCCACTTCTCACCTGGAGGTGGGTGGAAGGGAATCTGTGGAACTGTCAAGCCATGAAGGAGCCCATCCAACACTGCATGCTGTGTGGTCAACAGGCTGGTGTAAAAGGCTTTGGAGATGGCCCGGCTGTTTCCATCCATGGCTTCACAAAGGACAACAAAGCACTAAAGGAGACAAGGGTAGAGGCAGCATCAGAGCATCAGAAGACTGACTGAGTTTAGTGTTAAGAACTAAGACTATTCTGAGGTGCTCGGAATACAGGATTTTGGGCACATTTGTAATCCCAGGTACTTGGAAAGCTGAGGTCAGAGGCCAGCCTGCACAACTTAGTAAAATCCCATCTCAAAATAAAAAGGACCAGGGATACAGTTCAGTGGTAGAGTACTTGCCTAGCATGTATGAGTCCTCAGGGTCAATCCTCAGTAAAATGGAGGAGGAAGAGAAGGAGGAGGAGAAGAAAATGGGGCAGCTGTCTAATTCTAACCATTCTTTGCACACACACACACAGCTGTCTAAGAATTCTTTACACACACACACACACACACACACAGTGAATTGTAACTACAATGTCTTCATGTTTTCAGGACAAGAATTTCAGTGTCATTTTTTCTTTCCTCTCTTCTTCCTCTATTTCTTCCTCCTCCTTCTTCCCTTCCCTCCCCTCCCCTCCCCTCCTTTCCTCTGTCTCTCTCTCTCCCTCTCTCCCTCTCCACCCCCCATATGTCACACAGTGGGAATTCAAAAATGTTTGCTGTAATAATTTGTTTTTTGTTCTGTTTTTGGTTTTTTGAGACAGGGTCTCACTATGTAGTTGAGGCTGACCTGGAACTCACTATATAGCCCAGGCTGGTCTCGAACTCACAGTGATCCTCCTGTCTCAGCCTCCCAAGAACTGGGATTACAGGCATGCGCCACCATGCCCGGCTGCTGTAATAATTTGATCTGATCAATTATGGTTGTAAGAAAGGGATGGGAGAACAAACAGAAATATAGGAGAGACAAAAATCTGGAGGTGGGAGTAGACTACCATAAGGCTGTCCCTTTGCAATGTATGCTCAGAGTTGTCTGGTTGAGCCAGGAGTTTCCCCAACAGGTCCAGAAAGAGGTTGGCAGACTCCTGAAACACCTGTAGGCTGGGAAAAAAAAATGAGCCCATAGTTTCTTCTCGTTAATCTGCTAAAAGCCCAGAATGGGTCAATACTGGGAAGGTAGGATAATCTCTGCCAAGGAATACATCAAAATGCTCCCTTAATTCTTTCCTACTACACACACACACACACACACACACACACACACACACACACACACACGGTTTCACACACCCTCCAAGCCCCATCTCTGCCATTTTCTCTAGATTATTCACATCTTGACCCTTTTATTTAGAGTCACAGTGACTCCTGACTCTTTGAACCTGAAGGTCTTTGGATAAATCTAGAGATGTCTCAAGGTTCCTAAGAACCAGGTGAATTCTGAGGGCGATTCAGCTGATCTCTATCCCTGTCATACATCACAACTTCTCTTAACTTGGTTTCTTCCAATAAAGAAGGAAAGAACTGGGGTAGGAACTAAAGTCAAACTGGTCAATAAAACAAAAGCTTCTCTGATCCCACCTGTCACCTGTCTGGTTCCTCTCCAGATTGAAGGTGCAGGCAAAGTAGGCCTGAATCACAGCCACCAGGTCCCGCAAGAAGGCCCCATACCAAGGTTGCTGCCAGAAAAGAGAAAAGAGAGACAGTAAGGGCAATGTGGATGATGGAGAACAGAAAAAATAGTTTAAAAAAATATATATATACAGAGATCTAGTCAAGCTGAGTAAACAGAAAAGGACAGTAGGAAAAGAAGTATGGGCAGAGAGTTAAGAGGTGACAATGCGTCAGCCAATGGGTTATAAATAGCCAGTAAATATGTGTTGTTTGCTTTTGGGTTTTTAAAAAATATATCATAAAACTATATATTATTTTAATTTTTTTTTAATTTAGCTTGTCATGTTTGTCCAGAACAAGACTGTGAAATGTAGAAAGTTCTATTTTTCAAAAAAGTATTCTTGCCAGGCGTGGTGGTGCACACCTGTAATCCCAGCACTTGGGAGGCTGAGGCAGGAGGATCACTGTGAGTTCAAGACCAGCCTGGGCTAGGTAGTGATTTCCAGATCAGTCTCAACTACATAGTGAGACCCTGTCTCAAAAAACCCAAAAACCAAAAATAAACACTATTCTTAAAAATTTCTTAAAGTCACCAAGATTTTTTAAAAAATCACCCAAGATTAATACTCATCAGCAGAGTGCAGCATTCCAGCTGCCTTAGCCTAGGTCCCATGAACTGTCAATCTGGGGTGGTCTCCCCCTCCTCTCAGCTCGGCTTTGGCAGGACACAGCATGAGGATGTAGATTTAGCCCCAAATACACAGAGTTTCAATCCTAGTTTTCATTGTCTATCTGACCATTTATATAACAACTGTGTAAGGAGTTAATTTCTGAACTTCAGTATCCTGCTATGTCAAGTCAATAAGACCTATGATCCAACAGTCTAAAGCAAAATATTCTAAATATTGGGAAATTATACACAGAAATCTGGATTTCTACCTTTTTGTGGAAAACTGGAAGATCCAGCATACAGGCCCAAATTTCCACAAGGCCACAATGGGCTAGAGCCAACAAGAGCAGGTAAGTGATCTCTAGTTTCTCATATTCCAACCACTGCTCATATACTAACACACATAGTCTATTTCACTGACTGACACCACCTGTCTTGCCCCAGAAAGATTAAAGGAAAGAAAATAAAAGGATGTCGGGTCCAGTTTGAGGAAGAGAAGCCCAAGGAAAAGGACCTTGTAACAATCTTCAGAATCTCCCAACCTGGCACCTACTTGCTGGATAGTGTTGCTCTCCTGGCTGTGCCTGAGTAGGCTGAGTGGTAGCCCCGGCAGCCCTGCCTCCCGGCAGAAGGAATACAAAGGAACAGAGTCTCTGCAGCTGGACAGAAGACTGCTCAGGACCCGGAATGCAGGAAGGATGTGGGTAGTGCCTTCTAGGACACCTTTCAGGATCTGGGTGACAGATAGAAGAGAGTTATTGGTATTATCACAGGTAAAGGAAGGAGAACTACAGACACCAAACATCCTCAAGATTTCAGCAAAGCAGACCAAATGTTTGCATTCCTTCCTGTGGGAATCTAAAACCCAGGGAAGAAGAGCAAAGAAACAGAATTATAGCAGAGAAGACTACAGACACACAGGTCACCTGACACAATATCGGTGACCAAGGAGGCAGAGGAATGTAGTCATTCCTATCTGCTCCCTCCCTTCCTTCTCAGCCCTTACAACAATAACAACAACAACAACAACAACAACACACACACACACACACACACACACACACACACACCACGGTACCAGAGCTGGGCATCACGTCTGTATTCCCAGCTACTCAAGGGACTGAGGCAGAGGACTGTACAGCTCAAAGCCAGCCTCAACGACTTAGCATCTTAATGAGATTTTGTTTCAAAGTGAAAAGTAAAGGGCCAGGGATTTAGCCTCCCAGGTGCAAGGACCCAAGTTCAATCCCTGCTACCAAAAATAAATAAATAAAAGTAAAAAGTAAAAATGTAGCAAAGACCTTGGGTTCAATCCCTCAGTATGGCAAAAAACAAAACAAAACAAAAAAAAGACAAAAAACTCAACTTTAAAAATGAGCACAAGATTTCCATAGATATTTCACCAAACATAATAAATGACCAAAAAGCCCATGAAAAGATGTTTAATATTCATCACTAGCATAATACAAATTAAAACAATGAGATACTATTTCATACTTACTAGAATGGTAACTATCATAAGGTCAGAAGAGAGTAAATGTTGGCAAGGATGTGAATAAACCAGGACTCCCATATATTTCTTGCTGGTAGGAATGTATGATGGATGGTATAGCCACTTTGGAAAATAACTGAGTAGATTTTTATTTTTATTATTTTTTAAAAATGTATTTATTTATTTTGGTACCAGGGATTGAACTTGGGACCTTGTGCTTGCGAGGCAGCTGGAGGAACAGAGTAGATTTTTAAATACAAATTTGTTAAATACAAATTTACCAACTTGGCATTTCCACTCCTAGGTATCTAGCCATTAAAGGCTGACATGCCTATACACAGACTTGCTTGTGAATGTGGAAGGATCATTATTCATAGAAACCAAAACTGGAAACAACCCAATATCTATCAGTTGTTGAATACATAAAATGTTATCTATCCAATCAATGGAATACTAATCGTAATAAAAAGAAATGAAAGGAGTTGGGCATAGCTTAGCAGTACAGTGTTTGCCTCCCAATCATGCGAGGACCTAAGTTCAAGTCCCAGCACCTGGTGTGTGTGTGTGTGTGTGTGTGTGTGTGTGTGTGTGTGTGTGTGTGTGTGTGGAAAACTGGTACATGTAACATCTGAAGAAATCTCAAAAAACATGCTACATGAATGATGCTAGTCATAATGACTATACATTATACAATATCAATTATATGAAAGATCCAGAAAAGGTAAATCTCTGAGACAGTAAGTAGATTTGTGGTTACCTAGGACTGGGAAAAGTGATTAATGGGATATAGATACAAGGGCTTCTACAGAGAGTAAAGAAAATGTTTTAGCTTTACACTATGATTCAAAACTTGGCAAATTATTAAAAATCACTGGCCATATGCAAGTCAGTGAATTATGTGGCACATAAACTATATCTCAATAAGTTATTTTTTTTAAATTTTAAAGAACAGGAAATAAATACAATAAATAAATTGCAATAATAAATAAATAAAATAAATAAATTATAATAAATAAATTGCTGAGTTCTTAAGAGGGAAGAACACTGTTTCAGATGCAAAGAAAGGATTTGGAAAAGGGGAAACCTAACTTTTCTACTTGACTCTTTTTTTTGGTACCAGGGATCAAACTTGGGACCTTGTGCTTGAGAGACAGGCACTTGCCAAGAAAACCTAACTTTGGCAGGGGGGTGGTACCAGGGATCAAACTCAGGACCTTGCACTTGTGAGGCTGGCAGTGGAACCACTGAGCTAAATCCCCAGCCCAGAAAACCTAACTTTTAATGGTAAATAAGCAAAATGTTATCCCACCAAAAACAACTTCATTCTTCTCAGTAATATGCCTATAAAATATTACATACTCAATTGTTACATTTTTTAGCAGTAAAATTTTTGTGGAAATGTATTTTCCTTCAATTTTATAAGTAGTTACATAAAACACTCAACTTTTCCCTCTTAGCTCACAATTCCTAAAATATTTACAATCAGAAAAAGTTTGTTGATCCTGTTTTAGATAGATATTTTTCCTTATAAAGAGAAAACTGAGCCGGGGATTTAGCTCAGTGGCACTGTACCTGCCTCACAATCTCAAAGTCCTGAGTTCAATCCCCAGTACCAAAAAAGAAAACAACAAAGAGAAAACTGAAGCCTGTTCTTTGTATGTTACTAGATTATTAGGAGATTAGTAAGACTCTAACTAAGCAAATTCACTGAAAGTACTGAGGAGCCAAACTTTATGTTAGTGAATGTTTTTTGTTTTTTTGGAGACAGGGTCTTGCTTAGTAGTTCAGTCTTGCCTTGAATTCACTATGTAGATTAGGCTGGCCTTGAACTTGTGGGAATCCTCCTGTCTCAGGCTCCGGAGTGCTGGGACTACCGGGGTGCACCACTCTGCCCACCTTAGTGAATGTGTTTTAATACTTCGTCTCTGCAGTCCTGAATGCCACTCACAGAACCTTCTTCCCATTACCTGCCCTGCAGCCTCATGAAGCTGACTCTGGATGCACTGGCAGAAGTCAGGATTGCACAGCAGGGTGAGAGGGGCTTTCAGCTGAACAGGAACAGGCTCAGTGGTTTCCAGTAGGCGCTGCCATTCACTATCACTGTCTGGCTCCTAAGGCACAGTGGAGGAAGTAGGAAAATACAGGTCAAGAGGAACCTGCAAGTCTCAGGATCACAGCTCCCAACCTGGGGTTAGAAAGCCAGGGATTCATGAAGTGACTACGAACAATGCAGGTGTGCATCTTAGATCACCAGGCAAAAAAACACACTGGTAGTACAGAGGTCCTGGAGCACAGAGATACCCAGAAAATGTCCATCATAATGTGGTTGCTGTAATAACAAAAAAAGGGAAGCATCCTAAAGTCAGTTGGTCAGGGAATAATAAACCAAATCCATCCCTAATAGGAAATAATATGAGGTTATTAAAGATATTGCAGTATCAAGGATGCATCACTTATATGGTATTCCTACCAAAACTGCATCACCTAAATCTAATAACAAGGAAACATCAATCTGAAGAACAGGGCTTATGTACCGCTCAGGTTTGGACGTGGTCTATATGTTTCTCCAAAGGTTGATGTGCTGGAGGCTGGTCACCATGAAGAAGTACTGGGAGACAGTGCAACCTTTTAGAGGTGGGGCTTAGTAGGTCAGAGGGGGCCAACCTCTGGAAGGGAAGACGGATTTCACTTTTTCTTCTTTATTATGTTACTGGGGATTGAATTGAGGGTAGCACTCTACCGCTGAGCTATACATCCAGTTTGGGATTAGGCTGTTATAAAGCCCTAAGACTGGCCCTACCTACTTTCTCTGGCTTCTTATTGTGAAATCCTTCTTCCCACCCACAACCCTCACTGTTTTCCGTCAGCTTTGTTTTGTTGTTGTTGTTGTTGTTGTTGTTTGGTACCAGGGATCGAACTCAGGTCCTTGCGCTTACAAGAGTTGCCAGAACCACTGAGCTAAATCTCCAGCCCTACCCTCACTGTCTTGACATCCTCAGCAATAAGGTCCTCACCGGAGCCAAGCAAATGCCAATGCCTGACCCTCGAACCTATAAAACTATGAGCTAAATAAATAATTCTCTTTTTTCCCTTTTATTTTTTATTTTTTAAGTAATTATTTTGATATTTAAGATTGAACCCAGGGCTCTGCATTGAGTTAAATCCCCAGGCTTTTTTTAAAATTTTGAGACATGGTCTCACTAAGTTGCCCAGGTTGGGCTCAAATTTGTAATCCTTCTGCCTCAGGCTTGCAGAGCACTAGAATTATAGGCATGCACCTCAACATCTCACTTTCTCTTTTCTTTATAAAGTTAACCAGCCTCATATATTTAGCTATCATAATAAAAAATGGACTAATACACATATCTCAAAACTGTTAGTCACAAAATGCGAAAAAGATGGGCATACTGACATATAACCTGTAATCCCAGCACTCAGGAGGCTGATGCAGGAGGGTTATTGAGAACTCAAGGCCAGCCTGGGCTACAAAAGTGAGATCCTGTCTCAAAAAAAAAAAAATTTACCCAGTCTCAGGTATTCTGCTTTGGCACCACAAAATGGACCACAAGGACAGTATGTAGGAATTGTATGTAGGAACTGAAGGGTAATAGGAATTATTCTTTAAGATGAACTATTTCAAAATAAAAAGTTACAATCTTAAACATAAAAGATTGAGGGAGAACTATATGCTCTGATACAGGAAAAGCCCTGAAATAGATCATATGGTAAAAGAGGAATGATGTAAAACAATACATACAGGATGAACTCAGTAATGTAAAAACAAACAATAGATTTCCTTTTGTGCAGATACATGTGTGGAAAAGTAAAGGAAGTCTGGAAGGAGCCACCCCTTCAGGTAGTAATAGAAGCCACTTCTGGAACTGCAATACAGCTCAAAGAAGACTTTCTTTTTTTTTTTAAATATAGGGTCTTACTATGTTGCCCAAGCTGACCTCAAACTGCTAGGCTCAAGCCATCTTTCTGCTTCAGACTTCTGGGTACTGGCAACTACAGGCATGCACCACTATACCTAACTCGGGACCTCCATTTTCACCTATGAATTCTAATTTTTCAGAATTATGTGTTCAGATATCATGCAATTAAAACTATGAAATGATAATAAAGTGCTTTTTTGACACAATGGGAACTCATACTTAGAGCTAACTTAGAGCATCCCTGTCCTAGGAAAACATTTCGCTAGACCCAACATCCTAAGGCAGGGAAAGCCCAGAAGAACCCCAGGACTCACCTCATCTTCTCCATCTGTGCTCTTCTGGCTCATTACCTCTGGCCCCAGTTCCGGGAATGCTTGTTCACAGTCTGGGGTAATACGATTTTCCCTGCCAGCAGAAGCCAGGGAATAGGATGAATTCTAGAATGATGAGGCTTTGAGTAGATTAACTTGTGCCATCGCTACCACCACCACCTCCAGCCCAGGAAAAGAATGAGGAACAAGACATACAGGCAGGTAGAGGAAATTCCCTTTTGGTAATGGGATATGGGATATAGCCAGGATAGTGTATGTTGGTATCCATGCAAGTATCCTTAATTGCTTTCCCACATTGCACCTTTTTTTCAAGTCTACTTTATAGTTTTCATCTGTTCCTTTTAACTCAATCTTTCCTTTTGGATGTATATGATTATTCCCTTTCAAAGAGTAATTGACACACAAAAAAAGATAAAGTCCTCAAGTTTCCCAAGTGAATTAAGTAAGAGCCCAGGACTCAAATCCCCAAGGCCCTGTCTATTTAGGCAATAGCCAGTGAAAGGATCATGTCATATGTGCAGTGGCTAGAGCCAAAGATCTGTGAGACACCTTCCCCCCAACAGAGACCCCTAGCTATACCCTCCTCACCGAAGTGCAGAAGGGGCCTCTCCAGCCTGCCATTCAACACAACTGCTCTTCATTTCTGAGGCCAAGATCCCAGCCAACATACTTGATTTTTCAAGAGTGGCTCTTGGTTCCAGAATAGGGGCTGTGCTAGGGGTCATCTTGTTGGTCTTATCTTCCTGCTCAAGGGCAGGTCCTCTGTTCTGCTGTTTCTGTGGGAGGTGAGTAGGAGACACTGGATTAGAACTATTTGATTGCTGCTAGGTGTGGTAGTACACACCTGTGGTCCCAGCAACTTAGAAGGCTGAGGCAGGAGGATTGCCATGAGTTTGAGGCTAGCCTGGCTACACAGTGAGTTCAAGGCCAGTCTGAAATACATAGTAAGACCTTGTCTCAAAAACAAAAACCAAAAAAACCTATTTGGTTGTCGCAGGGCAGTATGGATTCTACTTGTGGTCCTTTTCCCATTAACTTTCCCATCCTTCTCTAACTCTCTTAATCACTAGCCTGGTCATGCTAACATAGTTTCCCATACCCCACACACCTTTGGCTTGGCCTCTTCTGCCATGTGTTTATAGGCCTGATGCAAGATTCGAGACTGATTGCCCTTGGGGGCCAGCCAATGGGCCTGTTCATCCTTTAGAACCTGAAGTTCTGCAGGCAGGCAACTGGTAAATGGAGCGGCCAAATCCAAGCCTACTGGTTCCGTTATTACTGCAGGGGAGGAAGCGGGGAAGATATGATTATTCCAGAGCTTTATCCACCATGTCCACTTAGCCAGGGATAACATTGTCTCAGTGCCTCCCAGGCTTCTGTGGAAGGAAGCCATTTAAACAAAGTGACAAAAAGGGAGCAAGAATGGCAAACATTAGGCTAAGAGCTAGGAACAAAGTTTAAGCTGGTAGGGGAAAGAAGATATGTTGGATTCAGATATTAAGGAATAAGGGTTTGATTGGAGAAAATACTGGAAGTGTCAGGGGCTTGGGAACTCTGATAACTCACTGGTGACACGACCAGCAATAAAGGGGTGATGCAAGAGGTCTGGCCAGGACAGACGCTTCTGGGGGTCCTTGGTGAGCAGCCCCTGCAGGAAGTTCTGTGGAGAGAAACAACACTCCATCAGCCCTCCTTCCTCTTCCCTCTAGGGTCTCTCTAACCTATCAGCAGAACTGGCAAATCAAGATTCCTGCATTTAGTCTTAGAGCACACTCGACTATACTCTGAAAAATCCTTTCCTTAGATCTCATTTTTCAGACAGACCACAGCCTCACCTCCTACAGAGACCCAATTCCTGTTGGTGGACATTCTGTGACCCCAAAAGTAAAAGCAGAAATCTCAAGGTCAATGGCTTTGTAAAAAAAGAGAGGAAAAAACCCAGAAGTCACCTTTGCGATCACCTTTAGAAACCAAACTTTCAATAGAGTCCCAAACTCTTCCCTCCCTTTCAAGGTTTCTTCATGGCTGTGTAGAAACAGATGCATCTGTTTAAAAACACACTCACACACTTAATAATGGTGTACATATGTGTTTGGAAACACTCAAGACCAGAAATCTTTTCAGCAAGTCTTCAGATGGTGGAGAGACTCTCTCTCAAAAGTGTACATCTGTTATAAGGTATCCTTGGGAAAATCTTCAATTGGGCATAAAACAAGAATAAAAGGTACCACTGAATTATGATCACTGTTCTAAAACAAGGGGATTTGTATAACTATGGCTCTTGCTGAAGATACCTGCAGATCGGCCCTAAAGAAGGATGAGAGTATCTGAACCAAGGATTTAGCTCAGTGGTGCCGCCACCTGCCTCATAAGTGCAAGGTCCTGAATTCAATCCCAGGGAAGAAGAAGAAAGAAGAAAGAAGAAGAATGAGTATCTTAAGCACACTTCCTCAAATTAAGGATTCTTTCTTTAGATTCTTTTTGATAATAATTTGCACCTAGCAGAATAGGTTGGGAAGAAATCCTTCCTTTTTCACATTAGACAAAGCAAAGAAAAGTTATATTAAGATTTTATTCTGGGAGAAGACTGGACTTAAATTCCATTGATGGACCATAATCTTGCCCTAGATAACAAATAAAAAAGAGAACAAGGGCCTGGGGATTTAGCTCAGTGGTGCTGCTGACTGCCTTGCAAGCACAAGGTCCCAAGTTCGATCCCTGGTACCAAAAAATAAATAAAATAAATTAAAAAGTGAAGAAACACTTTCCCTTTCATCCTTCCTATTTGCCAACTTGCTGAGACTTAGCTATGATGGCCAAGCACCACCTCTGTCATCTGCCCCTAATCACCAAGCCAGCCCTATCACTGGCCATTTTAATACCTGAAGGGCACTGAAAGTAGTGTGGACAACTTCAAGAAATATCATCTAGGTACTCTATCTGAGAAGAAATAAGCGGAACAGAAGACATATAAAAGGACCATTGTCTCTGATATCTTGAAATTACCTTTCCATTAGGATAAAACAGTGATGGCAAACCTTTCAGAGCTTACAATAATACAAACAGCCTACTGCACGTGCGCCATAGGTTTACTACCACTGTCACACAGCACAGCCTGCTTCAAACAAAGGCTACCATTCCCAAGTTCAGCAGACCCCAGAATACCCTCCTAGAATAAATCTCTGCAGGAGATTAGCAAGGCTGCTTGCAAAGTCTCGCCCCAGCTCTAGAAAGGGATTTTAGAAAAGAAAACAGAAGTCGAGGGAGACAGGTTTCCAATGTAAAAAGCACTCTTCCTTTCAATCTTATTACCTTGAAGCAGGGACTGATGGTGGAGGGCCAGCGTACAGGGTCCTTGAGAATGAGATTGACCAGTTGAAAGATGCTTGTGGTATAGAAGGGAGGGGTTCCCACAGCCAGCTCATACAGAATGCAGCCCACAGACCAGAGGTCTGCTGTGTGGTCGTATGGTCGCTCTTCCACTAGCTCTGGAGACATATAGAGTGGTGTACCTTTGATAGACGTCAGCACCATTGTATTAGTGCTCATAGCGCGGGCAAATCTGCAGCAGATGATCAGATGGAAATGAAAGGGAAAAGATATTCTGGACTTGGTCATTACTAGAAAGCTAAATATGATCATTATTATGGTGTATATCTAGATGTCCCCCAAAAGCCTCATGTACTCATAGGTGAACCTTCTGGGAGGTGACTGGATCTCAGGGGTGTGACGCTTATTAGCTAAATGTGATGCTGGGAGGTGAACCCTTGTTGGAGGAAGTGTGTCACTCAGGGAACGCGGCCTGAAAAGCTTTATTACCCCTCCTGCCTCCCTTGATTTCTGTTCTCCATTACTATGCCATGAGCAAACTCTACTCTGCCGTGCCCCTGTGCCATGAGCCCTGCCTTGGAGTCAGCATACTCTGGACTGAAATATCTACAAACTGTGAGCCAAAATAAAACTCTTTCCTTCCTTAGGTTGTGTCAGGTGTTGTGTGTCAGCAACAAGAAAGTAACTAAAACAGTCATTTCCTACCTGTCATTGTATGAGACAGCCCAAGCCAAAACAGGGAGAGATCATTTAGTTCCGAAAGACTTAGCAAAAAGGACAGTCTCCAGCTTCTAAAATGAGGCCCAAGTAAATCATGCATATAGTCTAGGGCTCCCTGCAAAACTGGAAGCTCAGAAACCTTACCCAAAGTCACAGAGCTTGATGCCACCACCTTTGGCAAGGAGGATGTTCTGAGGCTTCATATCTCGGTGTAGGATACGATGGGAATGCAAATAGTATAGGGCTGACACTAACTGGGCAGCAATGGCCTGAACCTAGGGGTGAGACAGATGGAAGGGAGAAAGAAAAGGTGTGTGAAAGGAGCCAGCTGACAAGCCCAAAGATTTCTAATACTACAGCTAAGGTGATCTTCCCTGTTCTTCCAGAGCTCAGAATGGTGCCTGCTAGCTGGGCATGATGGCACACGCTCATAATCCTGGCTCTTGGGAGGCTGAGGCCAGAGGATTCCTGTGAATTCGAGACTAGCCTGTGCTATATAATGGGTTCAAGGACAGCCTGAATTACACAGTGAGACCTTTTCTCAAAAACAAAACAAAACAACAACAACAAAAAAACGGTGCCTGGCACAGAGTAAACATTCAATACAAATTAGCTGTTACTAAACATGGGACTGGGGATTTGGCTCAGTGGATTTGGGAAGCTCAACAGCCCGAGTTTGATCCCCAGCACCAAAAATAAATAAATAATAAGACAAAATCCCCTTTCTCAAGAGAAGTAATTACATAAAATAAAATGATTATTTACAAATAGTGAAGAGAAGGAAAATCCTATAGTAATAAGGATTTCAGGGGGGTATTATCTATTAGACTTATTACAGAGAAATCTCTAGAATGAATGTGGCTGGAGACTATTCAAACTAAACCCACTGCTAATCAATATTTCCTGGTGGCGAATACTGCATGATCACAATTGTTATCCTTCATTGCCCTTTCTGGTACATATTGGCCCTTCTTCCTCAAAGATACTTTACAAAAATCACTATGACATTAACATTAGTCAACTATTTAAATACTTTATGTAAATTAACTCACTAGTCCCTGTAATAGCCTTATGAGATAGACATTAGAAATGGAATTTCTCCCGGGCGTGGTGGCGCACGCCTGTAGTCCCAGCACTTGGGAGGCTGAGGCAGGAGTATCGCTATGAGTTGGAGACCAGCCTGGGCTACATAGTGAGTTCCAGGTCAGTCTCAACTACCTAGTGAGACCCTGTCTCAAAAAAACAAAAAAACAAAAAAAAAAGAAAAAAGGAATGTAATTTCTGACCCGAGTTTGATCCCCGGTACCAAAACGAAATGGAATTTCAGCCCAGGATTTAGCTCAGTGGTTCTGCCACCTGCCTCACAAGTGCAAGGTCCTGAGTTCGATCTCCGGTACAAAAAAAAAAAAAAAAAAAAAAAAAAAAAAGAAATGGAATTTCATGGGCCGGGGATTTAGCTCAGTGTCACCACACCTGCCTCGCAAGCACAAGGCCCTGAGTTCGATCCCTGGTACAAAAAAAAAAAAAAATGGAATTTCAAATTCTAAACTAAACACAAAGATTAATTTGTCCAAGGGAAACCAAGCTTTGTACTCATATATTATAGCTCCAGTGTTTACATACTCTACTCTAATACCACATTGCCTCTATATATCCCCAAACTCTTGCATCCTCACCAGGAGTCTTCAAAAATGGAGACATTCAGGCTTATGGCCTGCCCTACCCATCCTCCACCTGGAGAGAGGTCAGAAATGGGAAGCATACCTGGTCTTCTGGAAGTTTTCCATCATCTTCCAGGATCTGAAAAAGCTCACCCTCAGCATAGTCTGTCACTACCACCACCTGCAGGGAGAAGGCAGTGATAAGAGACAGATTCATGCATTCTGAGGTTGGGAAATACCTGGGACCCTTGTGCTTGGGGGAAAGTGACCCCAAACCATCAAAGCACACCTCTTTGTCAGTTTCAAAGCTGTCAAGCATATGCACAATGTTGGGATGACGAAGACCCTGCATGATTTCAATCTCTCGTTGCAGATTCCTCAGCTCCTTCTCTGAGCGCCCCAATTTGGGGATGAACTTCAGGGCCACCACCTGTCAGTGGTGAAAGTGAAGAGTCAAAGTCTAACTGTAACTATGGAAAAGGCTAGAATTTCAAGCTTAACCACAGGATGCCGAAACAACTTTAAATAGTATGAGCAACTGTAATATATCTTCTAGTTTCCCATCTCTGCTTTCCTATGACATTTTAGTCTCCCTTGGTGTCCTCCCCTGCCTCCACCACTGCCCACCCCAGGAGGAAACAATATTTACCAAACAGATCCCTTTGCTGGATTTTTTTCTTTCCAGTATGAGGGACTGAATCCAGGACCTTCACACTAAGCCATATCTCCAGTTCTTTTTATTTTAATTTTTGGAGACAGGTACACATTAAATCACTAAGTTGCCCAATGTTGAACTTGGGATGCTCCTGCCATAACCTCCCACAGTACTGGGATTACTGGTATGTACCACTATGCCTGGCTTCCTCTGTTGGATCCTTACAGAGGTGTTCTGATCCAATCAAAAAACTCAAGATGAGATTGAGGGAAAAATAAGGAAAAATGAAGGGGAAAGAATAGAGTTCACTTGGTTTATCTCTTCCTGAATGGTGTGATAGACTAATAATAAGAATAGTATTTGTTATTTACAAATGTCAAGTATTGTACTAAGGTACTTAGTGTGACAAGATATTTAATTCTCAAACCCCATCAATCAGTTATTATCCCCTTTCTATTGATTAAGAAACTGAGACACAGAAAAGTAGTCCATAGTGCTAAGGCTGTAAATGGAGATAATTGGAAGTTGAACCCAAGTAAAACAACTTCAGAGCTCATACACTGTAAGAAGTCAGTGCCTTAGGAATACAGGTTGGTATAAATGCAACCCTCTGCTCCATTTTTCACTAGAACTGGGACACAGAATCCTGCTCAAAAGATATCCCTCTTTGTTCGCCACCTGAGCACTGTATTTTTTTCGACCCTTGTACACTCTCCCAAAAGAGCCTTCTCCAATCATCTCCAACACGTGGTACTTTTCCATGACAAAAGCTTCAGAATCTCTCAGAAAGAAGAAGGTAGAGATAGTGGTGAAGAGCTACACATCCGGGGACAGTTCCACGCATCTGAGAAGCCTGGTAAGGATACAGAAGGGTAAATGTTAGCAGCCTAAACTTTTTCGCAATAATCCAGGCCTCAAAAATATGGTAGGGTACTGTGGATGGAAAGATGACAAGATCTTTGAACAAAGAGACCCGCTCCTTGGAGTTACTTCCCTTTTTTCGATCTCCGGTCCACCCTCCCAACCAAGCCTTGAGCGCACAAGATAACTTGCTCCCCGCCCCCTTCAAACTAGCCTCGCCCAACTGCCCCTCCCCTTTTAGCCTCCTCCAAATTCCTGCCAATCTCAGCACCGCCGCACAGACCCCTCATTCTATAGCTTGGCCAGCCGGGAGTTCCTCTTTCAGCCAGTTTAGGAGCTCCAAACTGTTCAGGCCTAAGATACCTGCCTGGCCTCGCCTCTAGTCCCCTCTGGCTGCCTACATACTTTGCCTGACCTATCATTTTCATCCTTGACGCCGGTCTTTTAGGTTCCAATCCTTACCGGTTTTACTCGCTAGAACTGTCAAAAGTTCTGAGGAAAAAGGCTCTTAGAAGAGCCTTAGGAGAGACGAGGACCGCCCATAGACACTTCCCAGGTCACTATAAGACAGCAATCTGCCATCAGGCCCCACTGAGGACCCGGAGTCGGGGGTTGCCTGGAAACAGCGCCGCCTCCACCTCCTGCTCCCCGCCGGTTCTCCGACTTTTCTAAAGGCATTTCCGGTTCCGGCTGCTGGCCGGAGAAGACATGGCGGCGTCTGCGTCTGTCCCTGCAGGGGAGGAGGACTGGTAAGTCTGGGTCATTGGCTTTTGCTGGCTTCCTGCATCTGGTGCGGGGAACTAGCGGCGGCTGCAGACGGTCGGTACGGCGGTCATATGGGATGGAGCGAGGGATCAAGGGTGGCAGACACGCTGACACTTCTAACACTTCTTCCTAGGCGAGATTCAGGATTGGGAACCGAAGAGTGGCGGGGCGGTGATGGGAGAGGGGTCTGGGTCTTCACCTGCCCTGCCAGGTGGGGCCACGCCTTATTAGCTTGATTACTTTACCTTCCCTTTGGCCCCATCTCCTCACGTTCTCTTCTAAAATAAATTTTCTCAGAGGCTTGAGGGATGCCTGCTCATCAGACCGCCCCAACTCCCAGAAACGTCCTCCAACTCCAGTCTCTGCTTGCCCATTAGTTCATTCCTTTTCCTCTACCTTCTGTCCCTGACAGCATTGATGAGGGCCATTGTCAGAGTAAAGCCTTATCCCCACAAAGAAGCCCTCGTAGCCCTTGACTCAAGGATTCTTGAGAGATCAGAACCTGTAAGGACTCTTGAGATTTGGAAATAGGATAAATGTGGGCTTACTCCACATTTTATTAGCTGTGTGATACTGACCAGGCCACCTAGCTACTGTGACTCATTGTTCTTAGCTATGAAAAAGTGGGTGTGGCATCTACTTCGGAGTACTTAAGAAGATCACCATGGACTTGTATCATCTAAACCTTCTTCTCCCCCCCTCCTTTGGTACCGGGGATCGAACTCTGGTCCTTGTGCCTGCAAGGCAGGTGGCAGAACACAGAGCTAAATCCCCAGCCCCTAAACCTTCTTTTTATTAATAACTTTGATAGTAGAGGATCTGTGGGGAGCCCCCCAAAAGTAAAGTGACTTGCCAAAAGTTACAACTACTAGAACAAGTCTAACTCCAGATCTTTTATTCTTAGTACTAAGAAGCATGTATGAACATGCACACACACACACACACACACACACCCTTTTAGTCACCTCCTTACTACCATTCCATCCTGTACCTCACATTCAGGACCCAGACACACACACACACACACCCTTTTAGTCACCTCCTTACTACCATTCCATCCTGTACCTCACATTCAGGACCCAGGTCACAGATAGGATGGGCAAAGTATTGAAAAGCCTCTTGACTGAAGCTCAAGTGGTAATACCTCAGTTTTAAATTAGTTCAGAGAGCGCAACCAGTGCTGACCTTTATCAAGACTATCTAGACTAGCAGTTTTCACTGTGGGGGAGCTTTAAGATTCTGAGAGGACACTTTGAGCAATGAGAGGTCAGCAGTGACTGCAGCAGACTGTCATACTGCAAGGTCTGATTCAGGGGTTCCATTCCCATGTCAACAGAACTACTCCACTCTTGTAAGTGTAAAGCTTATATACTTTGAAGTTTCTACCTAAGGCTTAAAAACAATTTTAAAACAAAAATTATGGGACCAGAGATTTAGTTGAGTGGTTCCGCCACCTGCCTCACAAGTGCAAGATCCCAAGTTTGATCCCTGGTACCAAAAAAAATTTAAAAACAGAAATTATGATAAAGGTCATGCTATGGGAGAACTGTTCATAGTGAAGAGGGAACAATATATGAGAAAGCAAAGCATCTATCTATCACCTGGATTGAACTATGACTCAAATTACTTATCTTCAGTATCATTAAAATTGCTGTTTCTGTGTTTACATATATGTGTCCCCTGGTTTACATCAGGATCATGGATCATAACCTGACAGGCTGAAGTAGGTCAACCAGACAGCCAGGGTCATAAATACATCCAGGGTACTCTTAAGTACATCCTTCTTTCAAGTGGTAAAGTTATATAGAAACAGGAAAAAAGAGGACTTAAACTAGTTACTATGGCCCAGATACTAGTTGGTACTTCACATAGATAAATTACCTTTTAGGGATTGAACTCAGGTCCTTGCGCTTGCGAGGCAGGCAGCAAAACCACTGAGCTAAATCCCCAGCCCTTAAAAGAAAAAATCACCTTTAATCCTCACAATAATCCTAGAGAGTGGGTGGTACCTATATGTAGTAGAGTAACTTAGGCTTATAGAATTAACTACCCAGATTACTTAGTAGCTGGTGATTGCTACATATTACTGACTCCAAGGGTGATGGCTCTGCTACAGTGCAGCCTTTATGTCACCTAGACTTGTTCTGTTCAGGTTCGTATCTCCTTTGAGATGGTGTAGAATGATGGTATTGGCAGTATGTTTAGGCAGTAGGCAAGGCACTGAGATCCATGCTTAACTGTGGTGTAAGGAAAGGCAGTATTAGTGTTGGTAACCTTGTTAGTGATAAATAGATGCCATTTGGGTTGGAGGAATAGCCACTAAGAGATAACAAGCTGTGGAATGAATCTGGAACAGAGAGTCAGGAAACTAGGTTCTGGTCCTTATTCTTCCCATGTTAATCTTTGGTTAGTCTTTTCATCTCTCTGGGAATCTGCTTCCTCACCTGTGATCTCTAGAATTCTGATTCCCAGCTTCCTACCTGGCCACTTGGCAACTGTAGTAAATTTTCCCCTCGTTTTTAAGGAATTTAACAAGTGAACATTTTGAGGGAGATTGCCAGCTTTAGCAGGCTTCTGCAGGAAGATCTGTAATGGTGAGTCAGTTTCCTCCTGTGTCTTTAGGGTCCTTCCTGCTGAAATTGAAGTATTAGAGTCCATCTATCTGGATGAACTACAGGTGATTAAAGGAAATGGCAGGTATGTATTCAACTAGGGTATGCAGAAGTATCCTTAGTAATGAGAAAATTCTATGTAGAATCTGATCTTAAGACACTGTGACTCTTGATTCAGAGATAATGTGTCTCTTGTGTACACAAAGGCTGTTCCTTTAATCTCCTCTAAAGAAAGAGGCCAATACTCACTTTGTCTGCCTGCTCACTCCCCTCCTCCCCAGCCCTTGAGCCCCTGCAGAGTCATATCTTGGGTCTCACTTCATCTACTTGCAGATCTTCACCCTGGGAGATCTTCATTACTCTGCACCCTGCCACTGCAGAGGACCATGATTCACAGTATGTCTGCTTTACTCTGGTGCTTCAAGTCCCAGTGCAGGTGAGGCTTCTGCTATACAGTGGCCAAAGGAAAAAACAGTCCCTAAGGTAGATCACTTTAGCAATAACTTGTTATTTTCCCCTACTAGTATCCCCATGAGGTACCACAGATCTCTATCCGGAACCCCCGAGGACTCTCAGATGAACAGATTCATAAGTAAGTTGGGCTGTCAGAGCAGAGAAAACTCAGTATGCTACTCTGCCTGGCGAGGGAAGGGGCGGGCCTAATACTAGCTTTGCTTTTTGCTTTCTTCTTCAGGATCTCACAGACCCTGGGCCATGTGGCTAAGGAAGAGCTGGGTACTGCCATGCTCTATGAACTTATTGAGGTAAGGTGTGCTCACATGGGAAAATGTCCTTGTCTCAAGCTACAGCAGTTGTGTTTTGTTTTGAAAGGAATCTTAAATATATTTGGAAACATTCCTTTAGTCCTTGTTTAGGTAAATTAATTTAGGAAGATAACTTATGTTTTAGAAAATCTCCCCAAAAGACACTTCAGTAGCTTCACCAAGTTGCCTGTTAGAGTATCTTGACAGAAAAGTACTTTTCCTCTTTAGCTTGCAATTTTCTTGCTGCAATTTCATTGCCTTATTGTTGTCTTGGCACTAGCAACTTCAAATGGCAAAAGACAGTGCTCTTGTCCAGGTGGACTTAGCCATAAATGACCATTTGAAGGCTAACCATTGGAGCTGACTAGAAAAAGTCACAGTTCCTGTACTTAAGAGTTTATACCATAGTTTAAAAAACAAACCACAAGAAGCAAAATGTAGGGCTGGGGATTTGGCTCAATGGTTCTGCTGCCTGCCTTTCAAGTACAAGGACTCGAGTTTGATCCCTGGTACCACAAAAAAACTAAACAACAACAAAAAAAATGTATAACTGTAAATTAATGTACACAGATAACTTTTATTGTTTGAGATTAAAAGAAAATTTGTTTTCCTCAACTCGGAATTATTTTTAAGCAAAATGTTCAGAGTAGAGTGAAGGTAGATAACCTAGAGTCCAGGAGTGGGCCTATTAGTACTGTAACACACGTAGTCCATGTTGTCACAATGTACCTTTATCTCTGTAAAATTACAGCATATTAGCTATTCAAATAATATATTAAAAGTCACTTTCGAGAGGAGAAACAACTTGGATTTTGAACCCAGAAAGATCCAATTACTAGACGGGGCAGAATGTTCAGAAGGATTGCTCATAAGCTAAGGCAGCAACACCAGAACAAGAATGCGTAGTACACAATAATGGGCTGGCCAGGTGGGTACCAAGTGCAGCCAGTCACTCCTCACACCTGGGAAGAGCAGAAAGGCTCGGCTCATAGTTCCTGTCCTTGCCTCTGTATTTAAGTTTTGTCTTCTCTTCTTTCAGAAAGGGAAGGAAATTCTCACAGATAACAACATCCCCCACGGCCAGTGTGTCATCTGCCTCTATGGTTTCCAGGTGGGTTTCTCAAGTTGGGACCTGGAATGTGCTAATGACAGGCAGAGTAGGGCTTGTGAGTGACTACTGATAGTATCTTCTATCCATCTCTGCTCCAGGAGAAGGAAGCTTTTACCAAAACGCTGTGTTACCACTATTTCCACTGCCACTGCCTTGCTCGGTATATCCAACACATGGAACAAGAGCTGAAGGCTCAAGGACAGGAGCAAGAACAGGAACGGCACCATGCTGACACCAAAGAGGTAGGCCTAGCCAGCCCCTGCTCTCACCTGACATTGAGACTTTCACAACCATGGCCATCCTTCCACTCCAGTGGCTTTTTACCTTTTAGAGTCAGATATCTCTGAGATGAATGGAATCTTACCTCTGCCCATAAAGGAAAGGGCATCCTTATATACATGTACGAGGGATAATCAAATTATACAGTGAATGTTTAAAAAGTTATTAAAGACACATTGCCTTTAATCCCCCCAAAATACCCCCGCTTGCTTCTAACGCTCTTGTCCCATCATTCTTGCCACTTTCTGCTGCTTTTGTGGAAGTCTTTTTATGTCTTTAAAAGGGGTAATAGGACTGGGGATTTAGCTCAGTGGTGCCACCGCCTGCCTCACAAGTGCAAGGGACCTGAGTTTGATCCCCAGTTTGATCCCACCAAAAAGAAAAAAAAAAGACAAGGAGTAATAAATGTTTGGTTTGGTGGCACTCACTTGTGATCCCAGCACTCGGGAGGCTGAGGCAGAAGGATGGCTGTGAGTTACAGACCAGCTTGGGCTATATAGTGAGTTCAAGGGCAGCCTGAACTGCATAGTGAGACCCTACCTCTAAAAAAATAAAAAGGAGTAATAGAGAATATAGTGAATGTTTTGGCATGTGTCATCCAACAGAAAGGCAGGCTTATAAAAAGAGAATGTGAAGCTGGGCGTGGTGGCTCACGCCTGTAATCCCAGCATTCGGGAGGCTGAGGCAGGAGGATCACTATGAGTTGAGACCAGCCTGGGCTACATAGTTCCAGATCAGTCTCAACTACATAGTGAGACCCTGTCTGAAAAAAACCAAAAAAAAAGAGAGACTGTGTCTTTATCTACTTTATTCACTGTTATCTGGCACTGTGTGACTTCTGTCTCTTCCCCAAAATAAAAATGACCATGAATTGTAAACATTTTGAGTCAATTCATGATATTGAAGCAGCCATGATAACAACTAAAGTCATTCATGAAAGAGGATTTTCTGCTTCCCATTATCCCTTGGGCTGAGGTGTGATGGTAAAGATTTTAGGCATATTAGGAGGGTTCCTCATGGTTGAGTTGATTCATCTTCATGTTGATTTGATGCTAAGCTGTACCACACCATGGTTCCTGGTCAGAATGAATTGATTGCCTCTATGAATAATCTGTGACTCCAGCCCAGTGAGCTACTCTGGGCCATGGCTGCCCTGTCACTGTTCTGCAGCCTGACTTCTTTGACTTGATTTATTTTTCAAACTTTTTGTGGCATTAGGGTTCAAGATCAATTAGGTACCTTCACTGCAACTTGATTTGGTGCACTTAGATTTTTTTGCACACCCCCGTAACATGCTATTATAAGCTTTGTGATGAAAAGAAGAAAATAGCTGAAAACACAAATGGGGAATGGGACAGATATGACTTGTCATGCGATACTGAATACCCAGGAATTCATCCAGGAGCATCATCTCAGGGCAGTTGTCCCTTGTTGGACTATAAATTCTTCCTGTTACATGGAAGGACTAAACTATAAATTGGGTCCAGGGAATTAGCAAGCTCTAATACCTGGTACCAAAAAAAAAAAAAAAAATCTGGACTATGACATGATCTTACCAACCCTGGTGATCAGGCTGTTTGAAGATTTCACTTCTTAGATGTTGGACAAATGCCTGTAGGGTCATCTTTGACCATTCTCAATGTGACCTTTTAAAATGAAATACTTGCGGACCGGGGATTTACCTCAGCGGTTCTGCTGCCTGCCTTGGAAGTGCAAGAACCTGAGTTCGATCCCTGGTACCTAAATAAATAAATAAAATGAAATACGTGCTATTCTAATCATATTTATTAAGTTTTTGGGTGGGGGAAAAGACTTCTCCAGATTTTAATTTTTTTCCCAGATTTTAAATTTGTGATAAAGGCATTTTTAAAGAAGTAGTTTTGAAATTCTTAAAAGGAAAATGTCAAGAAAAGTTGCTAAAATGTTTGGAGCAACAGGGAATACTTTGAGTGGGATTAATGACATTGTCTCTTACTGTAGTACTTTTTTGATTTAAACATTTTTTTTTTTTTATCACATCATGTACATACTGCCTGAAGTTTCCAAGAGTCCCCAGAACTCTCATTTGGCAACTCCTGTCCTACCTCACTGCTGAACAGATAAGCCTATGCCCTTTAGTCCCAGCCCTCTGCAAATCAAGATGGCTGCCAGGGAGCACTGTGTGATTTCTCCTCTTGTTTTAGAAGGCAGTCGGTGTGCAGTGTCCAGTGTGCAGAGAACCCCTTGTGTATGATCTTGAGTCACTGAAAGCAGCTCCTGAACCCCAACAGCCCATGGTAAGGGGACTCCGTTCTCATCTGAGCCAGGAATAATGGTGTTCTCTAAGGTGGGAGGAATGGCATCTTGTCTTCACTGAATGGGATCTCTAGAACTGGACTTGACCCGCCCAGCACCTGCCCACCAATCCACAGCCCCCACTGGGAGCCTGAATTGGGCATCAAACCAAGCACCTTGTGCAGCTTTCCTGAGGCATTCCTGGAAGAGTAGAGGTTTAAATCTGCCACCTTCTGTTCATTTTTTCCTTTCTGCCATTCCTTCCAGGAACTGTATCAACCCAGTGCAGAAAGCTTGCGCCAGCAGGAGGAGCTCAAACGGCTCTACCAGAGGCAGCAGGAGCGGGGTGGCATCATTGACCTAGAGGCTGAGCGGAAGCGGTATTTCATCAGCCTTCAGCAGGTGAGGGAAGAGTTTCTCACTTGCCCTTAGACATCACCAGCCCTCCCACACATGCCACTCTGCCATGGCCCTAGGATGCACTTTGTTCTACCCAGGAGGTTACAGGCTGATGGTGGTCAGCTGGTAGTAGGAAAGAGGCCACAGTTCCTGTCTTTGAGGATCTGCATCTCTCTCAGTACATCTCTTCTCTCTAGGTTTCTGCCCCTTTGGAACCTGAGGCAGCTGTAGATGTCTCCAGAGGCTCCCACCCACCACCTCATGCCCTTGCCACGGAACAGTCTACTTCACCAGCTGCCCAGCCCACCCTGCCAGCTCCTTTGCCTGTGGCCACCCCGTATATGTGTGACAAGATTCCAGGGAGTGGGCCAAATCAGCAGAAGTTGGGTGAGACCCAGAAAGCCATGCTAGATTCTCCCCGGCCCAGTCGAGGGCCCTGGCGGCAGCCCAATCGGAGGCACCTGAAGGGAAGGGAGTTCTCTGCCCCCAGAGGTACCACTAACACCCAAGAACTGCCACCTCCTGAGAGGCCCCTCAAGGAGCCTGTCAACCTCAGTCTGGAATCCCAAAATCAAGAGGCTGAAGGTCCTCCCCAAGACAAAGGACCTGGCAGCTGGCAGGGCCCTCCATCCCGCAGGAGTTGGGACTGTGCTCGCTGGGAGCGCTCCAAGGGCCGGATACCAGGTTCTTCCTACCCCCACCTGCCTCAGGGCCAAGCAGCATACCGGCCTGGTACTCGGCCTGCTCCTCGGAGGGACCCCCTAGGTCTGGAATCTGAGGATGGCTCCTAGCAGTACGGTGGGGGGGGGCAGGGGGACAATAAAGGCATTTGGCCTTTTTTGCCTTTCTTTGCTTAGTAGTACCTAGTTTTTAGGTATGTCTCTCTTTCTGTGTTAACATGAGAACCTGTCTGTTCTCCCAAGAAATCAAGGCAAAAGGGGTTTTAACTTTTCCAGTGGTGTAATGAGTTTCTGGGAAAACTAGAGGTTGATGTTTCAGTGTAATCCTTAAAAGGTAAAATAACACAACCCTCTGGGTATAGCCTCATATTTACATGTTTATTTTTTGGTGGTACTGGGGATTGAATTCAAGGCCTTTGCAGTTAGCTACATCCCCAAACCCCTGGCTTCTTCCTTTGATAGTGTTCCACTAAGTCGCCCAGACTGGGGTCAAGCTTGGCATCCTCTTGACTCAGCCTCCCAGAGTGCTAAGATCATTGGCATGCATCACCACATCTAGCTGTACATTTCTTTTCTTTTTTGGTACTGGGGATTGAACTCAGGACCTTGCACTTGTGAGACAGGGGGCAGCATTACTGAGCTAAATCCCCGGCCCTACACATGTTTCTTATTTAGATCCCTTTAGGTGGAGGCATATATCTTTCTGTTTATTCTATGATCACTTCCTCTCTTCTGTCCTGGGCTATGCCCCCATCATCTATACATGTGGTGGCATGACTGACCCTTGTAGGCATCTGTGATTGCAGCTCCTGCTTTATATTCAAGTACCAGCACAGTGAGGGGAAAAGGGAAGTCAGAAACCAGAGCAAGTATTTATTGATTTCCTCAGAAAGGAGAGCCTGAGCACAACCTGGTCGATCACCTCAGAGACTCAGCATTATGAATTGCCCCTGCAGGGTCATTTTTATACAGCATGAAGTAGCCCTGTACCTGGGCAGGACTAATCTGTGTTGTAGCTTGAAGGACATGTTCTGCAAAAGTCTCAGCCAAGGAAGGTGCCTGCCCTGGGTAGAACCTCTGGAACATCTGGGTCAGCTGCCAGTGTGAGCAGTAGCCCACATACTCCTTCATGTCCACTCGCCCGGGGCGTATCAGGGCAGGGTCCAGCCTAAGAGAAGTAGGGTTACAAGCAACAGTGCCAAAAAACATGGTCCTTTCCACCTCCTGGTTCTTCTGAGAGAGAGGAATTGGAGTCTTATCTCACTGCTTACCTGTCAACGTGGTTCGTGGTCATAAACACAATGCGTGCCTCGGTGGAAGCCACACCATCCAAGGCATTGAGTAGCCCACTGAAGGTAAGACGACCTAGACCTTGGTACTTCACAGGGTCTGAAAGAAGACAAAGATGGAGAAGTGGAGTGGTCACGGCACTGCTCAAATTGAACATACCTTATAATGTTCCCCTACTCATCAGTGCCTTGCACTGCCAACTCAAGCATCCTCCGTCAACCTTCTGATTTTTACTTTCTCCCACTGTACCTCATTACCTTCATTTAGAACCACTCCCCATCCTCAGCACTTTCACTTACTCTCTGCAGCCAGGTCTCGGCTGAGAAAAGCAGCATCCACATCCTCCAGGAGCACCAGACTCTGCTGCGGGGCCACACTCAGCAGGTGGTTGAGGCGGTCGTCAGACAGGCTGGAGTCTGTGAGACTCAGCAGGCAAATGCTGTGTTCCAGCTCCCCAGCCAGTGCTGTGCTGTGGACCATGGTGATGCAGGAGGCAGCAAGCAACCTGGGGACTTCTCTGGGCCCAAGTGCTTTTTGTCCCAGGCCTGGGAGGTATACCTCAGAGGCCTGGCCCTCCTGCAGCCCACCCCATGTTCTACATGTCTCATGTTTATCTTGATTCATGGTCCAATATTCATTTTCCTCTCCAACACCATCACCTACCTCACTTTTACCACAAAGGCTCAGTTTCACAATTAAGAGAAATTTTGACTACTCACATAAAACTGCTCTTTCCACAACCAGGGGGCCCATAAAGCAGATAGCCACGTCTGTAAGGAATGCCTAGGGATATAGCCAGGAAAAACAAGACCTAAAGTCAATCATTACTCTGCCTCAGGTGTCCACATTCATCCCCAGCCCTGACCCATGCTGGCCTGAGGATTTCTGAAATCATTCACATAGGCAACTTTTCTTTCCCTTTCACCTCTGGGAATTGGGCTAAAGACCACCCCCTCTGCTGAAACAATACAGTAAAAATAGCCTGTTTCTCACCTCTGTCAGTGTACCATTTAGGGTTATCAATGAATTCCCGGATGTCTTTGATAATTCGATCAGCCAGACCCTGCTGTAGAACCACAGAGCTCAGGGGCCGACGGCGGCGTGGATAGCCAAAGGTGCGCCATTCGGAACCCACCGCTGTGTACATCACTGTCTTCCCTTCCTCCTGTTGCAAGGCCAGCTCTCGAGCTGGGAGCAGAGAGAGATGAGACAAAGTAATTCTTTCCATTGTTGATTCTTCACTAAAATGGCCTCTTCCTGGTCCCCTGCTCTCATGGCTCCAATTCCCTTATTTTCCTCTCCAAACTGCCCTTCCTCAGATATCCAGTGTCAGATATCCAGATATTCCCCTGTGCCATCCATACCTTCCTCCAGGATGTTGAAGAAAACCTTGCGGTCTGTGCCCAGGGCTGTGAAGGTGACAGATTCCCAAGGAGTGCCCGTCTGCAAGTCTATCATCTGCATCTCTCGGCTTCGTTCTACCCGGATCCATTTCCCCTGATACCTGAATAAGAATGGTCAAATGGATAAGTGAAGGAGAATGTGTCAAACCCAGCTCTCTCCATTCTCCTTTTCTATTCTCAGAGCCCTCCCTGGCTCCCAACCTTACCAGATGAAGTGGTTCCCAGGGCTGGGAACAAACTCAAACTTGGTGGAGATGCGGCCACTCTCATGCTGAAGGTATGAAGTCTCGACACTGAGGTGCTGAGTACGGGAACTGTGTCGGGTGAGCCAGCTAAGCAACCAAGCATAGCTTCTGTCTCGAGCAGGCACTTCCAGTGTAATCATGTAATGGCGCCGAAATGCCACCAGTCCCAGTTGGGCGCCCTTCCGGGCCAGGGCTAAGGCTGTGCCCACACCCACTAGCCCAAATCCAGCCCCAAAGTAGGGATTGTCCTTCAGGGCTAGAACAAAGTCTGAAAGTGGCATCTTGAAAAGTAAACACCAAAGCTTACAGGCTGTGAGGCATTATCAAAACCTAGGGGTAATGAGCAGTGAAGACAAGACAAAGCACAACTTTAGAAACTGGAACCTACGTATGTCTCTAGCCCTGTCACACTCCCTCCCTCAGAAGCAAGAAGGTCAGCACTACTCTGCTTTATTATGCTCCTCCTGTGGAGCAGGGCTCGTGGTGGAATACAAGGGCCAACATATTAGACCCTTTATCAGCTTATTCATACCTCAGTCTCCTACCAGAGGACTGTGTCTGAAGATTCCTGAAACCTAAGAGAACAATGTAACCAGTTTCACATCAGGATAATAGATGGGCAGAATTTGTGTGGATCTTGGGACCAGCTGAGCTAGGAAAAGGCCCATTGGCAGGGATGGCTCTTCTCTTGACCTGTAGGTGATCACATGCCTTTCAAATTTCCTGTCCCTTACACACCCAGTTCCTACTGTCCTGTTTACAAGTAAGTTCCCAATTTATGAACATTCGAGTTGCAAACTTTCACAGACATGAATGGACCTTGCATTATGAACACTTGTAGATGCGAACAAATCCTGGAAATAGCTCATGTGTTTGCTGGACAGTGTCACAGATATTCTGTGTGCAGTGTACAGTGCAATTATGTCCATTAGTACAGTGTTCATTCAGAGCCCAGGATGTCCGGGAGCAAGAGGAAAAGCAGTGGTGATGTGGAGGGGACTGCTAAGAAGCACAAAGCAACACACATTGATTATTTGTGTCAAAGGTGTATAAGACTCATTTTGTTAGACTTATGAACGAATCTGACTAATGAACGTTCTCTGGAAACAGAACTCATTTGTAAGTTGGGGACTTACTGGAGTTATTACCTCCCACCTAAACTGTCTCTTTAAATTTTAATTTTTGACAGCAATTTTTTTTTTTTTTTTTTTTTTTTCAGGGATCAAACTTGGGACCTTTGGCTTTCAAGACAGGCGGCGAAACCACTGAGCTAAATCCCCAGTCCTTGACAGAGCATTTTAATGTGTCTTCAGTTCTTGCATCACTAAACAGCTATACGGAGATCTAAAGTTTGCTTCATTAGGATCAGCTTCAATTTTATCACTCTCCTTTCTCCAGTGCCTTCAATGGGTGGCTCCCAACAGACCCTGAACTGTATACAAACCTTTAGCCTGATGATACCTGAGGGCCTCCACAACAAGGCACCCACCTGTTTTTCATGGCTTAGCTCCTACGAACGCCCCACCAACAAATATGCAACACCTCCCACCTCCTTGTTCCTGCAGGTCTCTTGGCTCAGAATACCCGTTCTTTATTCTTTGCATTCTTTCCACCTATTTCCTCCACAGAGCCTTTCCTAAATTCAACCCCAAAATACGTGACTGGATTCAACTGTAACAAAAAGACCTGCAGAAAAAGAAGCCTGTTTCTAGCACATCTCCCCGCTCTGCCCACCTCATCCACCCACGTCATTCTGCCCGGCACCTGGCACGAGGGGCAGTCAATTGACAGCGGTGACCTCGGCTGAAATTCGGAGAGCTGGGATCCAGAATTCCAAAACACCTATACGTGGAAGGCTATAGACAAAGCTCTTCTCTTCCCCAGTCCTTGATCAACACCCAGAAGCCTCTTTAAGAAATCCCTCCATACAGCGGATCAAGCCCCCAAGAACGTGGTTCGGAGTACTCCGTCACTCCGCCCCTCCGCCCCTTACCGCCAAGGCTCTCTGGCCTTCAGACTCGATGGTTTCACCCCGGGCCCTGGAGTGAAGCTCTGCTAGTCCCCGACCCCTAAATGTCTCAGCGACTTCCCGCCACGCCTACCAAGAAGTCCATGCCTCTCTAGCCCACAAGTCTCGATGATCCTCGTTGCGCTTCAGGGTTTCGGTAGGGAGAACTGAGGGGGCGGGAAAAAAAAGAATACCTATTGGCTGACTGGGGAAGAGTGGCTTCCTTATGCCGGATGTTCTAGACGCGTAAGGGCAGAGGGCGGTCGCACAAAAGGAGCCCGGGGAGGCAGCTCCAGCTGCTGTCGACCATAGAGATGCGGCTCCCACTGGCCCTGACTCCAGAGGTGAGTGAGCTGCCGCCGGGCGTGAACTGTGAGGAAGTGGGGGTGGAGCGAGCTGGAGGCA